GATGGGGAGTGGCTGGAGAGGGGCTTTGACCTGGTCTTGGGGTTTTCCCACTCTTTGGCACACCTCACAAGACTGGACATAGGTAGAAACATCCTTGCCCATTCCCTCCCAGTGGAATGACCCCCCCAAACGGTCTTTGGTCCTGTTCACCCCAGCATGGCCACTAGGGTGATCATGGGCTAAGCTCAAGAGCTTGGCCCGGTATTTAGTTGGAACTACCAACTGTCTCTGAGGATGCCAGTCTTCCTGGTGTCCACCAGAAAGAGTTTCCTTGTATAAAAGTCCTCTTTCTACAACAAACCTGGATCGATTAGAAGAGCTGAGAGGCGGTGGGTTGCTCCGTGCCGCCGTCCAAGCTCTCTGGAGGCTTTCATCTGCTTCCTGTTCGGTCTGGAACTGTTCCCTTGATGCTGGAGACATCAGTTCCTCATGGGATTGTGGACCTAGGCTTGGTCCCTCTGGAAGCGATATATGGGATGGAGCTGTTTCTGTTGACTGTGAACCGCTCTCCGCTGGTGCACTATGTTGGGATTCAGGCTCCGGCTGAGCCTCTTGTGTAGGGTTATCGGCTGCTGCCAGTTCAGGTTCGGTGGGGCCCTCTGGTGTTGAGGTTGCAAGTACTGGATTCAGTGCTGACACGGGGTCTGATGTTGGTTGTTCGGCTGGTTCCGGTTCTGGGACTGGTTCCGTCTGGGTCTCTGGGACTGAATCCACTACTGCTGTTGCAGACATTGGCCTGGGGTCCAGGTCCATCACCTCTGACTGGGTCCTGATAGAAGTTTCCGGAACAGAGCTAGGCCTCACGGCTTGTTTAGCCTGGCTGCGGGTGACCATTCCCACCCTCTTGGCCTGCTTCACATGATTGGCCAAGTCTTCCCCCAACAGCATGGGGATGGGATAATCATCATAGACTGCAAAAGTCCACATTCCTGACCAGCCCTTGTACTGGACAGGCAACTTGGCTGTAGGCAAATTGAAAGAGTTGGACTTGAAGGGTTGAATCGTCACTTGGATCTCTGGGTTGATTAAATTGGGGTCCACTAAGGAAGCATGGATAGCTGACACTTGTGCTCCGGTGTCCCTCCACGCGGTGACCTTCTTCCCGCCCACACTCACAGTTTCCCTCCGTTCCAAGGGTATCTGGGAGGTATCTGGGCCTGTGGACCTCTGGTGTGATTCCGGTGCAATGAACTGTAATCTGTTGGGGTTCTTGGGGCAGTTGGCCTTTACATGCCCCAGCTCGTTACACTTAAAACATCGTCCAGCTGACGGGTCACTGGGGCGAGGAGGGTTGCTGGAGAACGGGGTGGTGGGACGATAAGGGGTCTGGAGGGTTCTTTGGGAGGTAGGTGGGGCTTTGGGCGGCCCCCGGTAATAGGGTGTGGTCTGGGGTGGTCCCTTCTGCTCTCCGCTCCAACTGCGACCAGTTTTCTTCTTCTCTGCCACCTCCACCCATCTGGCTCCAATCTCTCCTGCCTCAATTAGTTTTGGGTTTCCCATCTAGGATGTATCTTTCTATTTCCTCAGGAACACCCTCTAAGAATTGTTCCATTTGCATTAGGAAGGGCAAATTTACTGGAGATTCAACACTTGCTCCTGATATCCAGGCATCCCAATGTTTCACAATGTGGTAGGCATGTCGGGTAAATGACATGTCTGGTTTCCACCTTAGGGCTCTGAACCTCCGACGAGACTGCTCGGGTGTTATCCCCATTCTGACTCTCGCCTTGGATTTAAACAGTTCATACTTGTTCATGTGTTCTTTAGGCATTTCAGCTGCCACCTCAGCTAAGGGTCCACTGAGCTGCGGCCTCAGCTCTACCATGTATTGGTCAGTAGAGATGTTGTACCCAAGGCAGGCCCTTTCAAAGTTCTCTAAGAAGGCCTCAGTATCATCACCTGCCTTGTAGGTGGGGAACTTTCTGGGATGGGAAGTGGTACCTGGAGAAGGATTGCTAGGGTTTGTTGGTATATTCTGCTGGGCCTTTATCTTCTCCACCTCCTCCACATGCTTCCTCTCTTTTTCCTTCTCCTCCAGTTCTTTGGCCCTTGCTTCCATTTCTTTGTCCCTTGCTTCCATTTCCCTCTTGTGGGCAGCCTCTTGGTGTTGTTCTGCCTCCCTTTCTTGTTCCTTCTTCAGCTGCATGAGTTCTATCTGTCTTTCATGTTCCCTTTGTCTTTCCTCAGCCTGAAATTTGGCTAATTCGAGCTGTAGTCGAGCCGCAGATTTTGCCATTCTAACCTCTCTGTTTTTACTAACTTTACACCCGAGGTTTAGAAATAAACAAACAAAACTTGGCTGTAAAATTTTGCTGTGCTGGAATAGAATACCTATTCTCTGATAGTGATTGTCAGCCTACAGAAAAAGACAATTCCCTTGTCTCATGAAAAAACCCCCTAAGCTTATCTTTACCAGCTTAGGTCAAAACTTCCCCAAGGTACAAAATATTACACCCGTTATCCTTGGAATGGCCGCTACCACCACCAAACTAATACTGGTTACTGGGGAAGAGCTGTTTGGACGCGTCTTTCCCCCCAAAATACTTCCCAAAACCTTGCACCCCACTTCCTGGACAAGGTTTGGTAAAAAGCCTCACCAATTTGCCTAGGTGACTACAGACCCAGACCCTTGGATCTTAAGAACAATGAACAATCCTCCCAACACTTGCACCCCCCCTTTCCTGGGAAATGTTGGATAAAAAGCCTCACCAATTTGCATAGGTGACCACAGACCCAAACCCTTGGATCTGAGAACAATGAAAAAGCATTCAGTTTTTACAAGAAGACTTTTAATAAAAAATAGAAGTAAATAGAAATAAAGAAATCCCCCCTGTAAAATCAGGATGGTAGATATCTTACAGGGTAATTAGATTCAAAAACATAGAGAACCCCTCTAGGCAAAACCTTAAGTTACAAAAAAGATGCACAGACAGAAATAGTTATTCTATTCAGCACAATGCTTTTCTCAGCCATTTAAAGGAATCATAATCTAACACATACCTAGCTAGATTACTTACTAAAAGTTCTAAGACTCCATTCCTGTTCTGTCTCTGGCAAGAGCAGCATACAGACAGACACAGACCCTTTGTTCCTCTCCCTCCTCCCAGCTTTTGAAAGTATCTTGTCTCCTCATTGGTCATTTTGGTCAGGTGCCAGCGAGGTTACCTTTAGCTTCTTAACCCTTTACAGGTGAGAGGAGCTTTCCCCTGGCCAGGAGGGATTTCAAAGGGGTTTACCCTTCCCTTTATATTTATGACAGGAGGGATAGGATACAGAAGGACCTAGACAAATTGGAGGATTGGGCCAAAAGAAATCTGATGAGGTTCAATAAGGATAAGTGCAGGGTCCTGCACTTAGGATGGAAGAATCCAAAGCGCCGCTACAGACTAGGGACCGAATGGCTAGGCAGCAGTTCTGCGGAAAAGGACCTAGGGGTTACAGTGGACGAGAAGCTGGATATGAGTCAGCAGTGTGCCCTTGTTGCCAAGAAGGCCAATGGCATTTTGGGATGTATAAGTAGGGGCATAGCGAGCAGATCGAGGGACGTGATCGTTCCCCTCTATTCGACATTGGTGAGGCCTCATCTGGAGTACTGTGTCCAGTTTTGGGCCCCACACTACAAGAAGGATGTGGATAAATTGGAGAGAGTCCAGCGAAGGGCAACAAAAATGATTAGGGGACTGGAACACATGACTTATGAGGAGAGGCTGAGGGAGCTGGGATTGTTTAGCCTGCAGAAGAGAAGAATGAGGGGGGATTTGATAGCTGCTTTCAACTACCTGAAAGGGGGTTCCAAAGAGGATGGCTCTAGACTGTTCTCAATGGTAGCAGATGACAGAACGAGGAGGAATGGTCTCAAGTTGCAGTGGGGGAGGTTTAGATTGGATATTAGGAAAAACTTTTTCACTAAGAGGGTGGTGAAACACTGGAATGCGTTACCTAGGGAGGTGGTAGAATCTCCTTCCTTAGAGGTTTTTAAGGTCAGGCTTGACAAAGCCCTGGCTGGGATGATTTAACTGGGAATTGGTCCTGCTTCGAGCAGGGGGTTGGACTAGATGACCTTCTGGGGTCCCTTCCAACCCTGATATTCTATGATTCTATGATTCTATGACCTGTAGGGCTTGATCTATTCAAATTAAAAATATAGACACTTTAAGGGAGCACATTTCCAACATTAACATATCCAGCTTCCGATCATTGTGAGCTGAGTTTACACAGTGCCTCTCTAAATGCTGATTCTTTGTCACTTTATTAATACAAAGCTCCAACCCTCTGGAAGATCTCTAGGATTTGTATCAATAAAAGGGGTTTTCCTTTTCATTCAAAAAGTGTTTTGAATTCACACTTGTCAGGACAGCAGGGCTATATACAAGATTACACTAAAAAAATCTCAAAATTTGTTGCCCCGGCTCACCTCTTTCTTTTTAAAATACTAACATTTTCAGATCATACACTATGAATTACCTTAATTTAAGTATAATGATGGGGAGTGGGGCAGGGAAGGAAACACAGAAACTGCCTCCTAAAATCCAGATGTAGTACAGACAGAAAATAAAGGAATTAATCAAAACAGACTGACCAATATAATCCCATTCACTTAGATTGTTCTTATTTTATGCACTTTGCAGGCTTTCGTGAGTGTGTCCATACTCAGCACTGCCATCTTCTGGATGGAATTAGAACTGATGAATTATGTCAGAAAAGCCCTAATACTATCACTGCTAAAGGGAATTTTTCTTTGCACTGCTCAGGTGGTAGAGGGAATTGCGCCCGTCTAGCTCTCCACACTAATTTCCAATCCAAACACTACTGGGCTCAAGTTCCAATGTGGAGAGACTGAAAAGAGGAAGGCAGTCCGAGAAAAGAGGATCAGATAGCAGAATTCCCTCCATCCCTCACCAAAAACACCTCAAAACTCTCCCCTCCCATGAAAATACATAGAGTATATAATTATACACACACACACACACGTCTACTAATGTCAGTGTACCTTGGACTCTGCTGGCCATAAAGAAGATGTGTATGTCAGATAAGCTTTGAAAAAAAAAAAAGAAGAGAACAAAATCATATGGGGGAAGGGGGGAATTGCATAGCTTAACAAACCTCATAGTTTGTCAGGTTCTCAAAAAACTCAGTATACGAGGTTCAGTGAATTCATTTATATATATTATACACAGAGAGAGAGAGAGAGAGAAAACTCCCAAACACTTTCTTAAGTAACAGTTAAGATTGCTAAGAGAAATTCAAGAAGATGCTCTATTGAATATGTGGGGGGAAGGGGGAAACAGAAGGACAAAGTAAAAAAGAACAAAAAATCCTGTTAAAATATGGAAGACACAAGCTACAAATAACAAGCTATAAATAATTCTAACACCAAACTAAACACTGAGTTCACACACACTATTAAATACAAAATTCTCAGTGACCAGTAACTTTGTTCATGTTACAAAACACCCCACATGGAAGGAGTACCTGCTGAATTGTGACAATCTGAACTGTACCTCCTGACCTACCCCACTGGGTCCCTGAGCTGCTGTGGGAAAGATGAAAAAAACCCACTCCTGCCCCAGCCAATCTGAGGGAAAAACTCCATTCCAAACCCCAGAGGTGAATAGCATCATGCCCACAGCAGACCAAAAAAAAGAAGGAAAAGAAAAAGAATTTTTCCTATGCTAATCCCAGGGGTGGGAGCTGCTAATCCAAGAATGAGATGGGGCTCATGCTGACGGGAGAGTTTATATACATGCACTCAGCTGTACAGGGGCCCACGTATCCTGAACCCCACCAGTGCAAGACAGCCACATTGCAAGAGCTGGGCAAAGTGTGTAGAAATCACCACCAAATCTTAATTCTCTACTCACTCACCATGGTGGCTGCATTTTACTTTCACTTTGCATGATATAAATGACTACAAAAGTTGGAAGGCAATGAAGGATCAGGCCCACTGGGCCCAACAACTAATTACTCTCTGGTCCCTTTGCACCATCTGAAGATTTAAAGGACTTATGAACTAGGTAAAAGTACCTCTGGGGAATATCATCAACACAAAGAGGTTGTCCCCAGCTGTACTAGAGCTGCAGAAACAACTTTATGCTGGCTCCCATCCCAGCACTGCTGTACTCTGGCTGGGGATGGGGAAGGGGCAACCATGGATAGAGCATTGCTGCACTCTGCCTACTCTCAGCTACTTCATGGCGGATGCAGTCAGATTATAAATTAGAGCAACCCCTAAACCTGTTCTGATTTGCACTGGGGTTTAGGTTAGCCCCCAGATGGCCTTAAAATATGGAGTGCTGAATGGTGGCTGAAAGGTATACAACTTACATGCAAGGATGCTGGTTGAAATAAATGATCACCATCAAGACGCAGTGAAAATGAAAAGTCCGGCTGAAAAATACGCCAGCTATAGGAAAAGCAGTTAATGTGAATTATGTAGCAGACACCAAGATCTGTCAAAAAACTGTTCCAAGTCATCCAGGTTACTGGGCCACTCAGCCCTAGGAAGGCAATAACTTGATTTCACACAAGATAATAATCAAATGCACTGAATTTAGTTGTGGCTCATGCTTTTCCCAGGTGAGTACACACAGTGAACACTAAGAACATTAAGGCATTGCAAGAAATATTTGCTGTTTATGGGGAAGGTGGCTTATGATGGGGTAAGGGTGATTTGTTAAACTTAATAACTAAGCTTAAAACATTTTAATGATGACACCATTATATATTTCCATTGTTTTGTTTTGTTTTTTAAAGAGGTACACTTGACATGGATCTCAGGTCAAGTAGCATATCTACTGGTCAAAGCTTTGTAAGTCAGCTGCCCAAACCTGACACATCCCTGGTTTGAAATCAAAGTTTATCTTCTTCTAGGCAAGCTGCCTACTGAAACTACCAAACCCCTTCTGCCCCAGCAAGACTTATTTTAAGGCAGACTTTATTCACCTTGGCATCTTTGTCATAGGGCCTGTTTGATATTTTATCAGAAGCTACCCCGCCATGAGCTGCTCAGAGATGCTAGCAGTTGCTTATTGGATATTCAGAGCTGTTCTGCATCTGCAGGATGTTCCCCTATCCTCCATCCCGGGACGTACATGATGGATGTTGGTCACTCCTTCACAGGGCACGTCCAGTGAAGACCTGAGAGTTATATTGGTAGGATGGCTTTTATGATGCCTGTGGACAGAAGATGACCAAGGGTGAGGTCAAAGACTCTGTACATGGACCAGATATCAACAGACCTTAACGAGACCCATTTGCACAACAGCTAGGTGTACAATCATGAGTTTTGGAAGAAGGCTATAAAAGTCACTGATTCTAAATAGGAAAGTAGCAAGAAAGAAGAAGATTTTTTAAGAAGCAGATTTTACAATTTTTGTTTCACACTTAATAAAATAAAAAATCACAATGAATATACTTTTTAAAAAAAAAATCAGCCTTAAATCATTCGAATAACCCTAACATTCAAAATAATTCATAAATCACAACTGGAAGAACTGCTGAAACTATTTTCTTTCAGAGTTTGGAAAGGATGGCTTCCTACAGCCCACACCAGTGCCCCATGTTGAGGAGGAGGACTGTCATGAGATGCTAACCACAAAATAGGACACTAAGTGTCCCATTTTAGCCATCTGAATACCTAGGACAAACTGGGGTAAAACAACACATTCCTAGGGGAAAAAACAGAACATATAATCACACTACATATGAATTACCTGAAGAGAACATTTCAGACCATAACGGTTCTCCATTTAGTTGTAAAGAATTTTGATTATTCCTCATTCAACAAGTCATTCCAGATTTGATGTTTGTGACCTAGGAACAGACAGGGTAGTAGAACACATTCTGCAAAAATTTAAAAGAGCAGTAGGAAAACAAAAGCAAAGGCACAATCCTGCAACACTGAGTTGCAACTTTTCTGCTATCATATAACATGTATAACAGAGACTAGCACTGAAAAATATCTAGCAGAGCTTATTCTTACTTGTCATTTACAAGTTAAATCTGATTAAACCAGACAAGATACAGAAGAGGAACTGGATGAAAAACACCACACTGTAATGGAACTGCAAACTATACCTCTGATGGTTTTATGACTACACTGGGGGGAGGAAGACTGGGGTTTGCTGTGGAATTACAGGGAAGAAAAATTAGTAATAAGAGTCTGAAAGGAAGGTACAAAGCACAGATCTCCCATAAGATGAAATTTATATTAAAAAATCTGGAGCAGGAGGTTGGTGAATGTTGGTATGTAAAGTAAAAGGATACATCCTTAAACATACAGATGTCTCCCTGCCTGCTGCAGAGGCAGTCATCATTTTGTGTATATGATCCTTATGTAACAACTGGCTACCTGCTAGCCATAGGCAAAACTGAAAAGGTTGAAAGGTGGAGCTCAGTTTGGATAAGCACAGACAAGTGTGAATTTTTACATGAAGTTTCCTAAACTTATCAAAACGTTTTGAGATATTCTCTCTTCTCAATTTTTCTCTATCTCCTCCAAACCTCACCTTTTCTTATTCTAATTTCCCCAACTCACTTTGATTTCCTCCTTACCCACTGTCCTGAGTATCATCAGACTCTTAGCTGCTCCTCTGTCTTGACTCAGTCTCCCATGATCTTCCAACTACAAATGCTTCTCTATTCTGATCCCTAATTTCCCCAACATTCCCATCCATGACCTCAAGCTGTTTCCCTACCTTAGCTGATATCTCACCAAATCCATTGCATTTGATGGAACTGGGCTTTCAAACAATGAGTTCCTAGTAACCTCATTTGAAGTGGAATTAGTTCCAGAGTGCTTAAAAATGTTCAGGTTTGCTCAGCTTAAATTAAGATTTGTAATAAAATCACATATAATTTATGTGATTCATGTCTGTTCTCTAAACAGATGAGGCACATCAGAACTGTATATTTCTGAAATATTTGCTAATTATCTTCATCTGACAGGGAGTGGTTTCTACTAATAACAGTTTGCAGTGTTATTGTAGCAGTGATGGTCCCAGGATATTAGAGACAGAAGTTGGTGTGGTAAAAAATATCGCCTCACCCACCTAGTCTCTCTAGTGATAATAGCATAGGACTGGCATTAAGGACTCATAGATCCTATACCAAATTCTGCCACTTTTCAATCTGTGAATTGATAGAAACTAGGTCTCTCTATGACTCTGCTTACCCATTTGTAAAATAGGTATAATAAAGTAATACTTACCAATCTCACTGGGATCATGCGCTTAATTTCTCTTTGTAAAACACTTTCATATCCTCAGAAGGGTGACACTATAAAGTGAAAAGAAGTGTTCTTATTCTGTATCATTATTCCAGAGAAACACTGGAGGATGTGAGATGCAAACAGCCTAATACAGACTGCCAGACATGCATTGGCAGATATGACGTAGATAACCTAATAGCTTTTTTATAGTTCTAACTCCCGGGATTCCCTCACTGTACAGTAAGGCCACACAATGGATTTTGCATAATATCAACAAAAGTTAAGAGAACCTAGTGGGTGTTGGGTGAAGAAGGGAAGGGGCATTACTGATATAAACTAATCCATATTTTAAAGATTTGGATTATATCTAATATTCAGGGTATGGTTTGAGTTGTCCCCTCCATCTCCCCCTCCCCCTGCAAATAGTTCATCTGTCCCTATAAGAACAAACATATTAGGGTATTTTGCTTTTCTAAGATACATTTATAATAATTATCTTGCAATTTGCAGTTTTAATGTTTGCATAATTGTGTGACTTCAAATGTAAATGCAAAGGAATTGCAGGAGAAACATATTTAATTACTATGTACTTGCAATGTAATTACAGAGTATTATGTAGTTCCATGGTTACATGTGCCATGTAAATTAAAAGAGATACTGCTAACTCCTCAATTCTTTCAAGAAAATCAGACACTGGAATCCAATTCCATCCACACTTAAAAAAAAAATCTTTGTGATTATAATTTCAACTCATCTACAGTTGATTTCAATTCAAAAAGGTCAGAGGCTCCACAGGGAAGACAGAAATATATATATATATAAACACTTGCAGAGAGCCAAGTTCTAGCAGAGAAGATAGGACAGCCTCTGTGCTCTACCTAATAATTTGTTTTTAAACATCAAACTTATAATTTCAAAACCTTAGTACTAGCTCTTCCCTTCTGGAGTGCATCCAGCTATTGCATACAGTTCTCTTCTTACATGTCTCAAGAACATAGTCACAGTTCAGTACTTCAGCAAAATCACACACATCTCAGGTTACCAGACAATAAGGAATGACATTTTCATCATTATTAAATAGCATTAATCAAGAGTTAAAATATAAATTTGCATTTAGGGTATTAATAGGTGAACTGATTTGCAAGTAATTACCGGCCTACCAAATTCACTGTCATGAAAAACATGTCACAGACCGTGAAATGTAGTGTCCCACCATGAAATCTGGTCTTTTGTGTGCTTTTACCCTATAATATACAGATTTCACAGGGGAGACCAGCATTTCTCAAACTGGAGTTCTGATCCGAAAGAGAGTTGCACAGGAGTTGCAAGGTTATTTTAGGGGGGTTGTGGTATTGCGACTCTTACTTCTGCACTGCTTTCAGAGCTGGGTGGCCAGAGAGCAGCGGCGGTTGGCCAGGAGCCCAGCTCTCAAGGCGGCACCCCACTAGCAGCAGTGTAGAAGTAAGGGTGGCAAAACCATACCATGCCATCCTTACTTCTGCACTGCTGCTGGCAGAAGCTCTGCCTTCAGAGCTGGGCTCCTGGTCAGCAGTTGCCACTCTCCAGCTGCCTAGCTCTGAAGGGAGTGCTGCCAGAAGCAGCAGCGCAGAAGTAAGGATAGCAGTACCACAACCCCCCCTACCATAACCTTGCGACCCCCCCACAACTCCTTTTTGGGTCAGGACCCCTACAATTACAACACCATGAAATTTCAGATTTAAATAGCTGAAATGATGGAATTTACGATTTTTAAAATCCCATGAGTATGAAATTGACTAAAATGGATTGTAAATTTGGTAGGCCCCTAATTATCTTCATCTGTTAAATATACTGTATTAAAGCAGAGTATGTTGAAAATACATATTAAACTATATATAATGCATAGCTTGTTTTTAACCATACTTAGAGTCAAAATGTGACTAGATTCTTATAGAGGCTCATGGTAGAGAAAAACAACCCCTTCACAATTAGACACCAAACAATATCTAAATACTAAGGAGTGGGGAGAGAGATTTATATGGCAAAATTCACACCTAGGGTAATTCCACAGAAGCCAATAGAGAATTACCCCAAAGGTTAATCTCTTCCATTATTTCTGTGAGATTGTATAGATTATAAATGGGCCTGAGTTGCAATAATTTAATCTAGATTCAGATACAAATCCCATTTCCCTGAAGCACGGAAGTCTCATGGTTTGTTCCACTACAGAGTTAGGTACCAGTTGCCAGTCTTGGATCCAAATCCAAATTTGACCAGAATTCAGGACAGTGAAGAATAAATCTGGCATTACAGTTCAGGCCCCTTTTTACAACAACCTTTAGAGTATATGTTATTATAGGAACACAGACAGATAACAGAGATGTTAAAGAAAATATTTCACAGTCATAGAACTCATATGAAAGGCTCTTTGGAATGAAGGTTTGAAACTTGAGAATTATCAGCTAGTATAATAGAAGAAACCACAAAGACAGTGCGGGATAAGACTTTCTTCTCTTTTATTCATACCGAAACCGAATCAGAGTCCTTAGTGATTAGAAGGAACCAGATGGAAATTGCTATCAGAAATTACAAGCTTTTATAGTTGCCAGAGAGCATAAACACACATCCTGAAAGAAGCTAAGTGACACAAGCCACCTTTTGTTCATTACATTACCAGAGGATAGACAATGAATGACAATTTTTGCAAAGCTAAACTTTCATTGTTATGTGGGGAGATGGGAATGAAGAATGACTCGCAAAGTTCTAAACTTAATAATGGTTGTCCCAGCAGA